ATGATTGGACGGATTCTTTGTTTAAACATAGACAGCTCTAGACATTCATACGCATCGTGGATGGTAAACACAGAGTCATGCAGGCACACAGCTTTACTGTACTCTACAGTATGTGTGGTCTGTTCAAACTGCAGGCTGCGAGGGAGTTGGCGGCAATGAGGGGTAGGAATAACAAGTAAGATAAAAAACAGGAATAGAGTTAGTTTGAGAGATGGAAGTTTGTAAGGCAGAGGATTCAATTTAAGGAGCGAGTGGGTTTAGAGGTGTGGAGAGTCAGGAGGAAATGATGGAGAGGTAGAGAGGTGAAGATTGAGAGTTTTGGGGCATGCACAGAGGAAACGTGGATATTAGAGTGGGACGGAGCAGGGATACATTTCCTTCTCTAAATGAGCTAACACTTTGCTGTTTGTTCCTAAAGCACAAGGCCACGGTTCATACACCGCTGAAGTTAGTGAGGCATTAAAAAAGTATACACATGCACTCAGACAAAGACACACTCTTTCTCTCAGTAGTCTCTTTGTGCAACATCTCGCTGGTGGGGTGAATTTGTGCTGTTCTGGGCAGGGCTGATATCCAGACCAGTTCACACCTAGAAACACACACAGGCTTGTGTTCGCTAATTCGCATACACGCAGCAAAAACACGGTGGGTTTGGCACTCTGATCCTAGCCCAAGACACCAGGCAGACACAGGAGCATCTGTACCGAGCTGCCCGGCTTTACTTGATCACTCAACTGGACTTGGCCAGACACACAAACACACACCATACCCAAACATGGTGGATAACTGATAGTAGGCTACAGCGCATTTCAACTATATGGCCAAAATTGTAGGGGAAGCAGCATAATAAACACACTGGCTATGGGAAAATGCAGCTTTCACAAAGACTCCAATATATCTGTAATCTAAGAGTGGGGTTATTCATAGGCATCTGACCCCCGGAGCTCAGTTTTGCTTCAAGGCACAATATATTCTGGAAAGGAGAGGCTCTCCATCATGGCCAATAATTCCTACGAGACCTCCTGGAGCAACTGCTGGTGGTGGTTATCACAAAGGGGGCCCTTCAGCTTTAAGTGGGGTCTGTTTTGGGAGGGTTACCCAGCCTAATCCCCTAGAAGTACCCCAAACCTCTTAATGCTAACACACAAACACACTCGCACTGTTGAATTCTTCACCCTTAGCTGATGTGCTGTCTTTTTTTTTTACCCGGGGGTAATTATGCTAAATGAGTGTTACAAGATCCCAAGTTCATCCTGGGCTCCCTCGTTCACACCGCCTCTCCCTGCCCCTTCTCCATTTCCGTGTGACGACTGTCCACTTTACACTTTCTTTAATGCCTAAGATCTCTTTTCCTGTCGGTCTGGCTCTCTCTCTCTCTCTTTTCTTGAACTGAACATACTTTAGAGTATATGCTAGAGTATAAACTGATGAATCATCTGATGAGCACCATTATACAAACAGCTTTCATTTAAGTGTTCATTGTCAAATCGCTATATTCTACTTTCTGAAAAGACTTAATGTTAGTTTTGCTATTATCATGTGACTGACACATAACTTTCGAGGTAGAGGGTTTATAACTACTCTGCTACTACATAAACAGTTCAGTAGAGCCTTGATCATGGGTGAATGGCTATTTCGACTGGTCGTCTGGCTTTGCTAATGACAAATACCACTAGAGACATGGTTGGAGTGGGGAATCCAGTTTGACTGAGAGCCCATGGGGCTTTTAATGTAAACAGCTTTTAATATGCCACTCATTTATGTCCATAAACTGATTTTTCATACTACAGAATCAGGAAAATCCTTTTTAACCTTCAGTTTTTTAAATTGCATATGACTTGTTAACTGTCAACGTTTCTGTGGTTCCAGGTGACTTGGTGTCCCGTGCAATGCACCACATGCAGCGCCTGAGCTCAGTACGTCCAGGGCTGAGCCCTGCCCGCCATGCCCGTCCTCAACAGCCTGTGTCCTGGTCGCCTGACGCCCTCCACACCCTTTACTACTTCCTGCGTTGCCCACAAATGGAGTCCATGGAGAATCCCAATCTGGATCCCCCACGCATGGCACTTAGCAAAGAGAGGTGGGAATTATGCATGACTGGACACAAGCAGTTTAGATGCTCCCTCTCTGAGTGCAAAATAGGCAGTGAAATTGCAGATCTTAATCTTAATCATTGACCTTGTTCTATTTTGTGTTCAAACCCCCC